GGAGGAAGAGGAGGAGGAGGAGGAGGAGGAGGAGAAGGAGAGGGAGGAGGGGGAGAGGGAGGAGGAGCGGGAGCAGGAGGAGGAGGAGGAGGAGGAGGAGGAGGAGGAGGAGGAGGAGGATTGACATCAACCGTGCCCAACAGACGACGGGTGCGCCGTCGCCGCCTGCTCTCTGGCCTGGATGAAGGCAGGCCAGCGAGCAGTGAGAAATGAGGCGATGGGAGGGCGGGCGCGACAGCCACGGGGCGATTTCCCGCAACGGGGAGGATCCCCTGTGGCTATCCGCCCGCCCCCCATAGGCCAAGACCTTTGAAGAAGTGAGGTCGAGGCCGAGACGCTGCGCAGGCTGAGAGGCCCGAGGAGCATCTCTTAGTCCGAGTCGTCGGACCACGCCACAGATGGGGCGACGAGGGGAGCCCCTCCCTCTTCGAGGGCAGGGGCGTCACCGACGCGCGCCAACTCCGCAGTCGACGACTGGGGCACAAACGACGGCTGCGGGCTCCGAGGTGAAAAGGCCTCGGGACTGCCAACCAAAAAACGAGCAGCTTCTTTCTCCGCCTCTAGCGGGTCAAAAGCCACTGTCTCAGGCACTGAAGCAGGCTTGGTGCTCGACGACGACGGTCGGACGACGACCCGATCTCCCTGCTTCTGTGGTGCCTGGTCCAAGGGAGGCTCAACCTCCAGTGGGGCAACATCTGGCGGGCCTGGCGCTCACCCAGCGGCCACAACAAGTCTGCGCACGAGACTGGCAGTGCGTAACTCCTTTTCACGGTCAGTGAGGCGCCGCGGCAGCTCCTCTGTGTCCTGGTCACGATACCAGGGACCGACTGCAACAGAAACGCCTCGCCGCTTGGGGTGCTTACCAGTGCCCACCGAAATCCATGCTGACTTGGCCCCCGCACTCTGGGGACAGCCGTCACACTTCTTAAGTAAATTGCGAGGTAACCCATGGGAAGAATAGGCATAGCATCGCATACAAATGGTGAGCACAGCCCCGTCCGAGCAAGGCAAAGCAATACAATGGTGCTGGAGGGTGCGAAGAGTCGCAGCCTCGAGCTTGGAATCTCTGAGACACTTGCCTGGGAGCGGCGGGTCCAGGCCTCCAAGCTTGCCCTCGCCACTGGGACCAAAGCGCGGTACTGCCTTGGCTACCTTGAGGCACTCGGAGCACTGCCAAAACCTGGAGGAGTCCCGCGCGGGCGGAGGAGGAGGAGGAGGAGGAGGAGGACCTGGATGGAGATGGAGGAGGAGGAGCCCCGGGGGGCGCTCGGGGGTCCCCCCGCGCCGTCACGGCTGGGCGCAGCGGGGGGAAGCGTCGGCCACGCGCAGAGGGGGGGCACGACTGGTCCGCCCCCTCCGGGGCGGCAGAGGCGGCAGCAGTCATCCAACACGGGGGGGTGCTGTTGCGTCGGGGGTGGGCAGACCTCCTGCCCTGACACGTCGATTCAGGGGTGGGCCGTTTTCGGATCGCGAGAGGGCGTCGCTGCCGTCATGTTTGCGGGTCCAGGTCCGTCGGGTTCGGTCCCAGGCCGTTTTCATTAAGGGGAGGTTTGCTAAAGGGAGGTTCGTCCACCGCCGATTGAGAGATCGCCGAGTGCATGTGTGTCTGTCTGCCGCATTGCACTGCACGCAAGCACTGTGTCGAGCATGCAGTTGCTGTGCTCGCATGCCGCTGCCGTGTTCGTTCGGGTCGTGACGAGCTCCAGCAGGGGCGAAACGTTGACACGCGTACTGAAAAAGGCGCGGGCTCGAGAGCGCCATACGAGTAAGGTGGGGGAGGGGGGAAGGCTTCTCGGAAGCCTCCCCCTCCCCTCCTACCCTTGTGTGCGCCGCCAGAGATTGGTGCGTTTGGTCTCCTGGGGAGGGGTCGGGGGACCGATTTCGGGGTTATCTTGGCTCCCCCTGAGATTCGACGTGGCGAAAAAAAATCGACTGCGCGAAAGTCATGACTGGAACCGTAGGCCCCGTCCTCCTGCGGCATTTTTCGGGCCCGGGGCCCGAAGCGGACAAAAGCGCCCCGCGTGAACAGATTGCAGCTTCCAGATTGCAGGGTTTGGACCCCAGGACGGGTGCGGGGACCGATTTCGAGCTACCGCTGTCTCAATTCCCTGTTCCCCGTGGCTGGCTCTGCATCCTGAGCAGGTTGCTCACTGTCCCAGGGCCCGCCGAGGGCGTCCAGAGGCAGAAAACCGACGCGACGCGAGGTGCACCTTCCGCACCTTCCGCGCGGGCGGGTGCCGCCGCCGCGGACTCGACGGTGGCCGCCGCTGCGGCCGCGGCGGCGGCCGCGGCAGCGCGGCATCTGCCGCGCCGAAGGTGCGGAAGGTGCAGGTCGAAGGTCGGTGCTCTCTCCTCCTCGGATCCTCGTCACGGGCCGTGCGCACCGTGATGCCGAAGAAGTGCACCAGCCGCGCGCACTCCTCCAGCGTCGTCGGCGTCGGCGTCGTCGTCGTCGGCGTCGTCGGCGTCGGCGTCGTCGTCGCCCGCCTCTGGGCTTTGAGCTGCTCTGGCGAGGCTGGGCAGGCCGTGCGCAGGGAGGCCGGGGAGCTGCACAAGAAGGCCGTGCGCGCGGTGGCCGCGGCCCTGCGCGCGATGAAGACGCTGGAGGCGTGCGACCGCGCGCGCGACGACACCGCCTGCCGACCGCCGACGACGTCACGACGACGACGTCACTACGACGACGACGACGACGACGACGCCGACGACGACGCTGGAGGCGTGCGCGCGGCTGGTGCACTTCTTCGGCATCACGGTGCGCACGGCCCGTGACGAGGATCCGAGGAGGAAAAGGTACCGACCTTCGACCCGCACCTTCGGCGCCGCAGGTGCCGCGGCAGTGCGGCAGCTGCCGCGCGGAAGGTGCGGAAAGTGCAGGCCGAGGGCTATCCTTCCTCATTTTCGCTTCTCGGGGCCTCAGGGAAGGCCCTCGTCGTCACGGCTGGCTTCGCTTCGAAATCCTCGTCACAGCGCACCCTCCCTGGGAGAGGTCCGGGGAGAAGGTCTCCCTAGAGGAGCTGATGAAGTGCCCGATCTGCTTCGAGGACATCCCGCTGGCGCTGCGCTGCTTGCTGCCCTGCGCCCACCTGGGCTGCAGCTCCTGTATCGAGGAGCGAAACATATCCGTCTACACATTACCCCAGAAAAGCACCTAATATCAGCAAAGGTGGAGATGCGGGACAGGGGTGAGAGCCGCCGGGACAGGGGTGAGAGTACGGCCATGTGCACCTTGGTTTGTTACCATTGATCGTGGCCGTCCCAGACCAAACATGTAGCTGGTATTGAGGCGAGAGTATGGCCATGTGCACATTCGCGCATGTTGGACCAAATATCGTGCCCGTCTGGACGAAAAATGTAGCCGGCATTCAGGCGAGAGCAAGATTTGTTAATAAATGGTGTGGAAGTTTCAGGCACAGCAGCTGCCAGTATGGGCGTCCTCGGGATCCCCGTCCCCCTTGTGGGACTACGCGGTGGTTCTATTTCACCTCAATGGGGAACCCTCCGAGCGAAACGGTATCAGGGAAACATCGCGCAAAGAAGGAGGGGTCTGTTTGGGGACCTCAGCAGCGTGCCCCAAGCCCCTCGACCTGCCGCGCGGCGGGTGCCGCGCTGCCGCGGCTGCCGCCGCGGCCGCAGCGGCGGCCACCGTCGAGGCCACAGCGGCGGCTGCCGCGGCCACATCGCGGCGGCACCTCCCGCGCGGACGGTGCGGAAGGCGCAGGCCGAGGGCTTCTTCGGACCGAACTATCAGCTCGGCCCCTGTCGGACGCGCAAAGGCATGCTGATGCTTTATGTCCTCCTCGGAGGCGCGCGCTCGACCTGAGTACATGGTGTACCCATCGTGTAGTGTATCTCTACATATATATATATATATACATATATATATCGCTTCCCAAGGTACGAGTGATATATATATATATATATGTATCGCTTCCCGAGCGGCGTGGCCAGGAAGCGCCCGCCACGACGCAGATACTAGAGGATGTCTCGCTGCGCGCGTCGCCCTTGGGGGGGCGACGCACACATAGCATTCGCATGTTGGGGTGACGCCGATCCTGCGCCGAGGAAGTGGTCCGCCGGGACGCGCGCTGCCCCGTCTGCAGGGCACCGGCCACGGCGCGGCAGGTGATGCGGCTGGAGGCCCACGAGGGCCTCGGCGGCGCTCCCGCTGGCGAGTGCGGCCGCTTCGGGTCGAAGATCACGCGGCTGCTGGAGTTCCTGGCGGCGCTGCAGGAGCGCGAGCCCTCCGCGAAGGTGATCCTCTTCGTGCAGTGGGAGGACCTCAAGCGGAAGGTGGGCGACGGAAGGAAGCATTGTGGTCGCAGGGGGTCTTGGCCGATATTTCGATGTCTCGACATCGGAGGCGGGCCGGGCTGTGATATTTCAGCATCGAGTTCTCGAGTCCCCGCCCAGCCATGAGTCTTGGTATCGAGATATCGAGGCGTCGAGCTGGGGCGGAAGAATAATCCAGGCGAAGTACCCAACCATCTGCAGTTGTGAGTAACGCATTTGTGAGTTTGGTCCTGGGTGGAGATCCCCGTGAGGCCACGACGAGTGCCACGGATGTGCCACAATGGGTGCGGGTACGCAATGCGGGCGCTGCCCTGGGGCCTTCAAGCCCCCTATGGGGCCACGAATTGTGTGACGGGTGCGCCGACATGGTGGGTGGAACCACATGCGGACGCTGACACTGGGGCCGTGAGTGAAGCTCCATATGAGGCCACGAAGCGTGTGAGGGGTGCGCCGACATGGGAGGGTGGAGCCGCATGCGGGCGCTGCCACTGGGGCATCCGGTGGTGACCCCTTATGGAGCCACGAAGCGTGTGAGTGGCGTGCCGAATGGGCATGCGGAGGGTGGGGGCAGGGGTGGGAGGAGGGAGGAGGGCAAGGAGGAAGAGGAGAAGGGCGAGGAGGAGGAGGAGGAGGAGGAGGAGAAGGAGAAGAGGGGCGCTGTCTCTTCAAAACGAAGGCCCAACACTACAGCATGGTTGGAGAAAGCAGCCTGTCCACGGGGACTCCTGGCCCCCACCCTGATCAAGGGGTCGACGGCGCGGACAGCCACGCGCAAGCTGCCTGCGCAAGACGGCGCGTGAGCGCCCTCGTTTCCACTGTGGCGTGCCGCGCTGGCGGCCCGCGTAGGCCGTAGCGGAAGGCCGGTACGTCTTCGTGCGTAAGCCCTGCTTCTTGAATTCAAAAACCAGTCTTTTGAATTCAAAAACCTGTTCCTTGAATTCAACAAAAAACAGATTTTTGAATTCAATGGAGCAGCTTCTTGAATTCAGCAAACCATTCGTCGCTCAGGTGGCCGGCGCGCTCGGGGAGTCCAGCCTGGCCTTCGAGGAGCTCCGCGGCGGCGTCTTCGCGCGCAAGCACACCATCGAGCGCTTCCAGCACGAGGAGGCGGGCAGCCGGGTGCTGCTCCTGTCCCTGGAGGAGCGGGCCGGCCGAGGGGGAGGTGCGCCGTGGGCACGCCAGGTGCAGCACTGGCCTGCCGGCAGGGGGCCCCACGGGGGCGTCTCGTCATTCCCGATGGGCCCCACGGGGGCGTCTCGTCACTCCCGATGGGCCCGCAGCGCCCAGGGGCGCGCTGCGGAGCTCGGAGTCGACGAGGGATGTGTCCTCGGACTGCTCGAAGCGAGCTCTCTCATCGCAGGTGCTCGCTGTTGCTCTCCTCCTCCTCCTCCTCCTCCTCCTCCTCCTTCTCCTCCTCCTCCTCCTCCTCCTCCTCCTCCTCCTCCTCCTCCTCCTCCTCCTCCTCCTCCTCCTTACCCTCCTCCGCCTCCTTACCCTCCACCGCCTCCTCCTCCTCCCCTTCCTCCTCCTCCTCCTCCTCCTCCATCACTCCGCCTCGTCCTCCTCCCCCTCCTCCTCCTCCTCCTCCTCCTGCTACACTCCTCCTGGGAGCCACGGAGCCTGCTGCGTGCGGCGCTGGTTTCGGCCGCGCCGCCGGGCGCCTGTCCTGGGCACGCTGGCGCCTCCCAGCGCGTCGGGAAGGCCAACTGAGTGAGCTGCTTCGATCCCCCCCTTGTGCAACCCCCCTGCTTCCGATCCCCCAAGTTCGGATGCAACTCCTGGTAGGTGAAATTATGCTTTCGCCCTGGTCCGACATCCGGCTTAATCCAGCTTCATCCCGCTTAATCCGGCTTAAACCCGGTCAATCCCGTTTAATCCCGCTTAATCCTGCTTGGTCCGAGGCCCTTTCCAGCGTAATAGCTCCCAAATGGGGCTTAATCCTCCTCAATATTTCCGACGAAAGCCTCCCAGTAGTTGCCTCCTATTCCAAGTCTCGAGAGCGAGCTCCTGAACTGCGCGAAGCTGTGGCAGGGCCCCAGCCCACCTCGAGATCCGACGTTGCGAAGACATGCGACGTCGCGAGAAGTCGAGGGGGGGGGGAAGGGGGGGGGGAAGGGGGGGGGCAGCGAGGACGCCGACACTCGCCGATGCGATCTTTTTCGGGCCGCGGCCGCAGAGGTCCCCACCGCTTCCCTGGGGGTGGCCTTCTCGTCGCGGCTCTGTGTTTGATGGTCCCGGGGCCCGATGACGGCAGCCCGGGGGCCCAAATCCAGGAAAAAGCGCCCGGGCTGAAGCATCCTCCACCCCCCCTCCTCCCCCTACCTCCCCTCTTCTACTCCTCCTCGCTGCAGCCTCCCCCTTCTCCTCCTCCATCTCCTCCTCCTCCTCCTCCTCCTCACTCCTCCTCCCCTCCTCCTCCTCCTCCTCCTCCTCCTCCTCCTCCATCCTCCCTCATGCTTTTAGAAGCGCCCAGAATCTTCTCAGAGAAGGCAAACAAGCCACACCAACGGGTGTGGCTTTCCTCGAGAAATTCAAGCGGGGTGAGGCGTAGTTGGCCCACCCGAGCCGCTTCTGGCATCGGCCTAGCCCAGGTTTCCCGCTCAGCGGGAGATTTGGCCCAGGCTGTCGCTGGATGCGGCTCAACCCTCTGTTTTTGAAACTAATCATCGGTTATCTTAGCGTCCTCCGCCTCCTCCTCCTCCTCCTCCTCCCCACGCTCCTCCTCCCCCTCCTCCTCCCATCCTCCTCCACCTCCTCCTCCCCTCCTCCCCACTCCTCCTCCCCCTCTCCCCTTCTCCTCCTCTCCTCCACCTCCTCCCTCCTCCTCCTCCACCTCCTCCCTCCATCCTCTCTCTCCTCCTCCACCTCCTCCTCCTCCTCCTCCTCCTCCTCCTCCTCCCTCTCCTCCTCCTCCTCCTCCTCCTCCTCCTCCTCCTCCTCGGGAATCATGTCGCCTGCCCGCCACCAGCCAGCGCACGCGCACGCCTCGCCCCGCCCCGCCCGAGAGAGGACTCCGCCTCGGGCACGAACCTCACCCGCGCCAACCACGTGGTGCTCTTCCACCCCGTCGTGGCCGGCACGCGCGAGGCCGCGGTCGCGTGCGAGATGCAGGCCTCGAGGGGCGAAGCGCGGCGTGAGCGTCAGCGCAGTCTCTCTGGAGATCCGCGCGGAGCGGCACGCTGTGGGAAAAAACACAGTGGGAAAACACAC